GTGTGTCCTATTCCTTGTTATTCAGCTGACATCAGTTGCACTATAGCTAAACTACAACAATCAGCACTTGCATAACTCTCCAAGAATGAATAATAACTAGTGGTATAAATGAGGTCATAACACTGACTAATGTACTACCGCTATAAATCTACTGGTGCCATAACTAGTACATTGTAATATTGAACCGAATGAAATCTTAAACCCATTTCATACATCTACAATTTCATCCTCCAAGACGCTCCTTTCAATATTATTTTCGATAGTGCTAATAATCGTTTGCCACGAGTGATAACAACGCTTTAGGCGATCTTGAGTTTTTATTATTATATTACATTATATTATATTAGGCTTAAATTAAACTTCTATTTTGAATTTTCTTTATGTAAGTCAATTAATACTTTTAAGAGTTGTTATGAGGATTGTATGTTATTATTATTATTATTATTATTATTATTATTATTATTATTATTATTATTATTATTATTATTATTGTTATTATTATTATTATTATGTTGTAATGATGTTTTTTGTACTGTTTTTTGATTTTATTAAAGAGGGCCCCTGAATATCAGTTAACCTACTGGGCTAAACTGGAAGGGTTACCCTCTTTAAAGATGGTTGAAATAAAAAAAATAAAAAATTTTACTCTTATAACGCCGGGCACTCACGACGCCCGACGGTGATTGGCTGACCCGATTCTATGGCGAACGCACGCAGTGACGCAAGCGCAATGGATCGTTTTTGACGATCAGTTTTGACCAAGAACTTATAACTGTTACAAACAAGTAACATTTATTAAGTCCTTGACAATCCGTTTAGACTGCCATTGACAATCAGCAGACGGCGCGGCGTCGTGTCGTCAGCGCTCACAGGGAGAGAAGTTGGATTCTTCGTGCGTCGGTCGTACGATGGTCGTGAGAAGACATCCCTGGCGATACTAGTGAATCAATCTTTAATGTTCTCAACTATCTCTAATGTTCTCAACATAATCAATATTCTTCCAGGGACGTCGTCTTTGCAATGTATTCGACACGTCTTGTTGATTTCATACTTTGCCATGAAATTTCGAATGACTTGTGTGTACGTAAAATGCTCACTCAAGTTTGCAATCTTCTGACGACCGCTAGACCTGGCGCTACATGGTGGTCAAAATCTCATGCGATTTGTCAGCTTTACAATCAATATTTAAACAGATCAGTATTAGTATATTTTTAACGGGCGTAAGAGTGAGTAAAGCCTTGCAATAATGACGTCAAGATATTAAAATGCCACTTTATAAATTTCGGTTTATGAGATGTAACAGGCACATGATTAATAACATTAATTTACTGCATTATGCCTAATTAAACAGAGAAACGAAACGTACGCTTTTAACAAATTCTCTAGATTGCCATCGAGTATGTTAATAGCCTAATGATACCGAAAACAAAAACAGAACAATTACTGTAATCTGTATAACTAAAGCTTTAATATCGATGAACACTTTAATTAGTTATTTCCTTATGCTGTAACACGTATCGTGCCAATATACGCATACAGTTTGACTCTATTTTTGTAATGCCTGTTAGAGCATGTGTTTTCCTTGGTGTTATTTAAGCATAAAAACAATATGCATAGGGCGGCCATCGAACTTATGCCATCCAACGGGATAAAACACTTGATAATAAACTCTGTTATATTACACTCAATAGTACAGTAATTAACGATCAGGTTTACTAAAAAGACGGCCTCTTGTGTATAGGGCCTATGTATAACATGGCACGTTTAAAGTTTCGTTAATGACGGCCAGATTGCATTTTTTCGCATTTACTTGTCCAAGACCGAAAACCTGATCACCATTCTTATCTGTATAAAGTGTGTATTACGGTATTGTTTATGTATTACTTATTTAGGTTATAGTAAAATTCAGTGGCGGATTCAAATAAGGCCCGGCCGCCCCCCCCCCCCCCCCCCCCCCCCGGCCGATCTGGAAACCACTTTCTCAATCTTGAAAATCCAAGTCAACTGAGTAAAATAGTAATTCAATCGGACTCGAATTATTAAATTAAATCAAAACGAAGACTGAAACTGATTTTTCTGTTTTATAGTGAACATGTAACTAGCTAGAACTTTATTCCCCTGTATTATGTTTAATTATGAACTTTATCAGTCGGACCTAATGTGTGTGGTGAAATCAATTAAAAATAGGGTCTACGTTGATCAATATGCAGGACCATGTATAAGAGTAGCGAGCTCCCTAAAATAACAGAGGGAAGAATATTATGTTATATCTTTATATTGAGATCAACACGAACATGCTATATTATATAAGTAAATACAGAGAAAACAAGAAGCAGCTCAGCATTTTGTGACT